AAATAAATGTAGCAGCAAATAAAGGCTCTTTTAGAGTGGGGTTGCTCTCCAACCTGTGACACGGAGGACCAGTGTGTTGTTTTGTGTTATTCATATCCTGCAAGTCACCAATCCTACATCAAATTAGTAAAGAAAAACCTGTCGAGAACATCACAAGTTTCTCCCTACTCACACACCTTTATTGGTCACCAGGACACCAAAGTTTCTCTCCACCACAGCAAGACAAAGCAACAGAGGAATTCCTTGTCACCTTGGCATCGTTTAAGTTGTTAAGTATTGATGTCTTTGAGCCCTGTTGAATAATCTCCTTCCCAGATCTCAATCTGTATGGCCGTGGGAGATCTAGGTAAAAGACTACCCGTTGAACATTCAAAGCTGATTTTTTCCCATCCTCAACAGGATTTTACATTTGCTAAACAGTTTTACGAAGTACCGGTTGTAATCACCACAGCAAGGCACGTAAAGGGAAGCGTTGATGCTGACGACAATGCTATCACTGAATGGGTGCATGTAAGAAAAATAATTGAAACCGCTCCTGAATTACTTTGCTTCTTATTTCCGTATTGTCACTTATCATTCTAACATTTCGTATTTCTAGCAAGTATCAACCAGCGGCTTGGATATTTGTGTAAGGGACATTCAACGCTACGATGCATTCCACGACCCCATCACTGTTAACTTCTTGGCGATAGGAAGTAAGTAGGCCACACAAACAAATTGATAAGTACGATATGCACGCACTGCGGACCTATCACTTCTTACAACGCGCCGGATTGCATATCGTTGATCAGTTCCGAGGACGCAAACAAGACAAACAAGGCAAGTTAAGTTTTTTGGTGTTACTGATGTCTCTTTGCTTATAGGGCTACAGGTTATGCTATGCTTAAATTTTTGCAAATTTTGACCATTAGAGTGATTTCTATGATGAAAGCGCATGTAGGCGTTCTTTGAATTCTGGATTGATCTCGACTTGGACTACATTAGAATAGAAAGAAACTACTTCGACTTCTTTTAAATGGTGAAATCAGTCAAGTAAGGTATCAAACACGGAAGACTGCGTTTGACCACAATTCCGAAACACGACGAAAAAACGACGCATAGCGGAGTATTCGTGACTTATTCCAAGGTGTTTGCAGGTGTGGTCAATCAAGACTAAAACTAAGAAGAAAACGGAGAAATAAAATAATTAAAATCTATGCTAATTAAGATCAGATATCCAAACACCGTCACGGTCATGACTTTCTGTCCTTAAACTTGATGAATTATTAATGAGTTTCAGAAGTTGGTTTCTTTTTTTCCCACAGGTTTGGACCCCTGCCAAGATTACTCTTGTTCCTACTATGCAGTCTGCTCTGCCAGCACTCCGACAACTCCGACCTGCGTCTGTCAGCCTTGTCATAATCATCAGGTTCAACCTATTTGTGACGTGTTTGGAGTCACCTACCAATGTCGTTGTGAATATAAACTTGCGGTTTGCAAGGCGCAGAAATCTATTCCAACAAGACACCTCGGCGGATGCAAACGTAAGTTTCACTGCAATGCATGTATCACTTGGTTATTTTGTCTACGAATCTCTTTGTCTTTCTAGATAAAGCACAGCATATTATTTTCTCATTTTAAACGTCTACTGCTGAATTCAGTAGAAGGCGCCGTGGCCTCATGATTAGTGTGCTCGTCTTCGGACAGCGCGGTCCGGGTTCGAGCCTGACCAGGGTCATTACGTTGCGTTCTTGGGCAAGACACTTTAGTCTCACACTGCCTCTCTATACCCAGGTGTACAAATGGGTACCGGCCAACTTAATCCTGGGGTAACCCTGCGATGGACTAACATCTCATCCAGGATTGAGTAGAAGTACTCCTAGTCGCTTCGTGCTACGGAAACCGGGATAAACTCCGGCCTGAAAGGCCACTTGGCTCGTATGCAGGCTTTACCTTTGCCTATGCAAGTGAATGTTTGATGCATTCAAAACCCTTGTAGAGTCTCTCCCAATAAAACTCTAGTTCCCTTGTCCCTCATACGCACAAGGGATTTACAATTAAGTCCGTTTTGTTCTTTCTTAGCATTTGTTTTTGAACGCGGTCGCGTTATTCTCCGTTTGAACACAACCGATGTGCAATGTAAAACAGTTTCCTTCAAGAAAGCAGCGTTCGAAAGCGGCCGAGGAAGTGTTTACGTACAGACCTCCATCAATTTCTTTAACTACAGCGGCGACTTCATCCATGACGCTGCGGTGACCTGGGTCGAGAACGTGAATATCAACACTTTTGAGGTGTGCGCGCTTAAAGCAGGAAGGGCAGAGCGCTTGACACCTGATGGCGGACTCACGTTTGTGGACTTCGTGGCCTTCCAAGAATGTCCTGTTGGAGCGATCGCCGGCCGACTTCAAATGCCATCTAATTGGTGGGACGGAACAACTTGTAAAACAGTTGCATTTGAAAAGGTTCGTCATAATATTTCGTCATTTATGCGAGGAAAATAAGCCGCGGCTTCCATAAGACACGAGCAGGACCTTTTATAGGAGCGCGGCTCACAAAAGACGCGAATTGTTAGTGTAAGTGGTTCATGGCTTTTTGGCGACTAATGCGATGCTTTTGTGTTGTTGTCATAGCAATCGTGGAATTGCGCGAGTGGTCGCACAAGCACGGGAAAAACTTGCGATTGCGAAGTGTGAGTTCGCTTCTTATAAGCCGCAAACAAGCCCCGATATCATTTATAAGAGTGGTTTCGCGTCTTATATAAGCTGCGACTTATTTAGCCGAGCTCAAAACCCTCGTCTTATCTTAGAATGAACTGGTCAAAATGTACCGTTTTTACGGTAAGTTTGCGTGTTATGTATGCCGCGGTTTAATTTCCTCGTATAAATGGCCCTAATGCATCGCTGACTTTAATAATCTTTCAGCGAAGTAATTGAAAACGGTTTGCTTTTTGTCATCTAATCAGAATTAAAAGCCAAAACTAATCGTAACTCGCTCGCACGCGTTTTCCTGCCCTTTGCGTCGGCTGTATTTTCTTAGAGCCACTGAATTGCCAATGTCAGCTGTGATTGGCCAGAGTGATTAATTTGAGTTTGGTTTCGCGACACTCCACTTAAAACCACTCCAATCATTTTCAGTTACTATCGCAAAAAGTAGAACTGGTTTGAATGGAGCTTACATAAATAAACAAGAAAACTCGTACAATAAAACAAACAAACAGGGGAGATTTTTACCATAATGACGTGCCAGAGCTGCTTTATTTAAATCCCCAACAAGACTCCTAAAGTACACCAGGCCAGCACAAAAAAAAATCCACTAGTTGTTAAAACGACCCTACTAATAACAGAGAACCCAGTCTAGTGACATTCTGTTTTTTTAACCGACCCCAAACCCCACTCTTCCTTCCCTCTGACTTGTCCTCTCTCGTATGATAGACGTTAACAGATAAATATATCACTGACAGATAATTAATTGCTGTATACAATTTAAATGTCAGATTGGTTTTGTGATTTCAACAGCCATTCAGCGATGTCCCATACATCCTGTTGACCGCTGAACACAAAGTACTGGGTCAAAAACATGACGCGGCCACTGTCTGGGTCGAGAATGCTGAAATAAGCGGTTTTACTGCCTGTTCAAGGGAAATGCAAAACTTTGATGGACTTCATGAGAATATCACACTGGTGAGTCTACAGAAATTATGCTGCCATACATAAGGCATCTCTATCTGTCATTAGCCTCATCTGTTCACTACTCGCAGCGGCAAGAGAAAATATCTTTGGAAAATTGTTTTCAAAACACGAAAGGCTGGATTATAGAATACGGGGCCACTCATTTACATCTCATTGAATTTGAATGGTTCCTTTTGTTTCTATACGCTTCGTTCTTGGAAGGGTTGAGGGATATGTTATTAAGTGGTCTGATATTGTGAAATCGTTCCTACATCAGGAATTTTCGAGCAGATTTGGTCGAGTGTAACTGTGACTTAGAGAACTAGCTAGTAGCCTGTACACATCCACCCCTATCCCTGAGAAGAAATCGGGGAGCGGAAGGTGCGGCACAGGCTAGCCGGCTAACTAGTCAAACAACTTGCACGGCAACCGAGGACTTCTGTCCGTCATTATTGTTTTTTTTTATCTTTATTTACCGACCTTTAATATTTTGAGCTCAACAAACCTAGCTTTGTTAAAATTTCTCGTTATCCTCTTTTATTCATGTTTAATTGTTTTTCGACAGAACTGGATCGCGTTTAATTCTCTTCCATCAGAACTCTCTGCCAAACAGAAATTCGTCGACTTTCCAAACAGTGATCTGCCCAAAGCCGGATATCACAACGCATACTGCGAGGTAAATCTCTTCAAACTCTTGTTAGTTTAGCGCGTTACTTCGTCAGAAATTGCGCGCGAGTGCTAGCGGAATAATGGTTACTTGTCAAAGAATCCTCGGCAATATTCTGTTCGATTTCTAGGACGTCAAGTTTGCCAAGACCTACTCATCCACGCCCACGGTCATAGTGTCAGCGTATCACAGCTCGGGAATAGGATATATGCAGAACATGAAGCCGGAATACAACAGCATTGCACCATGGGTAGAGGTAGTAAAATTTTACCAAATAGGCTTTGACTCTTGATATCACCTACAGAGGTAGTGCCTAATTGATCGCCAGAATAAACACTGGAAAAACCTTCGAAAAATCGCTGGAAATCCGTCCGGTAATTTTTGGTAATTCAACTGAATAGGCTCAAGGTACGAGTTTGTAACCCGGATGGGCAACACTTAAGATGGCTGCGGCAGATCGACTCGAACCCAGTCGCTATTACGATTGTTTCAAAAA